GGTGGAGCACCGGGGGATCGGGAAAGGGAGCCGGTCATGGGGAAGGGATCGAACGCGGAGAACGATTGAGCACCAGTTCTGCTCGTGCACCCGGTGGTTGGGTGGAGCAGGAATGAGAGGGGCTAGGCGAGGCTCAAGGGCCTGGCACCTTTGGGAAGAGGCTCGCCCGGCAGCGAGGCAAAACAGCCAAGGCTTCCCCCGGACTACTAGGGCTGTTGTGAGCTGAGGGGGCGTCCTCAAGTGGCAGTCAAGGGGCATTTACAGAGGGGCCTCTGTGCCCCTGGCAAAAAAAAGTGTTCTGCGACCACTTACTTCGCGTAATGGACGAGCCGCCCCTGAGAATCCCTAACCGAGACACTGCTGGGTACCTAAGCTTGTAGACAAACACACACACAAATCTGCGTTAGGGATTCTGCAATGATAATTATTGGAAGTAGTCATCATATGTGAGAGCTGGACCTTAGGGAAGGCCGAGCGAAGGAAGATGGATGCTTTTGAGCTGTGGTGTTGGAGGAAAGTGCTGAGAGTGCCTTGGACTGCGAGAAGATCCAACCAGTCCATCCTCCAGGAAATAAAGCCCGACTGCTCACTGGAGGGAAAGATACTAGAGACAAAGTTGAAGTACTTTGGCCACATCATGAGGAGACAGGAAAGCCTAGAGAAGACAATTATGCTGGGGAAAGTGGAAGGCAAAAGGAAGAGGGGCCGACCAAGGGCAAGATGGATGGATGGCATCCTTGAAGTGACTGGACTGACCTTGAGGGAGCTGGGGGTGGTAACGGCCGACAGGGAGCTCTGGCGTGGGCTGGTCCATGAGGTCACGAAGAGTCGGAGACAACTGAACGAGTGAACAACAGTCATTATTTGATTTTGGATGTTATGAATGTTTGCGTATATATATATACACACTCACACACATACACACACACACACACACACACATGCAAAGAGAGGGAGAGTTCCTGAGGTAATTTGCTGTTCCCAGAAACATGCGGATTCGATCTGGAGCACAAAGACTTTCATTTTCTATCATGCTTGTTTGCTTAAGTGATTACAACGGCTCCCCCCCCCCCCAAAAAAAAAAAAAGAAATATTTTTGGTTTGTGACAGTCTGTTTTTAGAGATAAGCACAGGTGACAAGCTTTTTCCCTGTTGAATGAGGAAGACAAGGCAGTTACAGAGAAACTCTCTGAAACATTTATCTTGAACCTATCATACAGCACATCAATTACATACACATGAGAGTAATGCAACACACGAGAGTAATGCAAAGTGGAAGCTTAAAATTTGCAGAAGTACAAAAATCCAGGGAGAAAATAAAAACAAAACACAACCTCCATTGGAGTACCAATGTCAACTGAGTGCTGACCTGTTTCTTGCTTGAATTCCCTCAAATGCAATAAAGCATTTGGGGAGAAATAAAATGACAGCCTTTCACTTTATATTGGAACAAAAACGTGGATTGACTCTCTGTCATATAAATTCACCACTGGGTTGTTGTTTTCCAGGCTGTATGGCCATGTTCCTGAGGGGAACTTCCAATGGTATTACACCCTGGGACTGCAGATGTCTGACTGGTTTATGGAGTGGGATGAATCTGGAACAGTGTATGAATGTAGTATGCCAACAAATGTGAGGACCTCTCACTGCTATGGCACCAACAGCCCTAATGAATTTTTAACCGAGTAGTATAATAGCACATCATTTTAGTGGAATCTGTTTTTTTTTTCCTTTAAGGGTTTTCATTGCATATAACAGCCACTATCACAAAGAGAGAAAAAAATACTATTTTACATGTTCTCTTGAATAGTGATATAGTGCTTTTTTATAATTCACATAATGTTCTTTTTTATAGTGTTATGTTTATAGTTACGTCAGTTTGCCTTTCCAAAACTATTACACAAATGCTACCTTGCAACCCCCCACCTCAACTTTCAAATAAATATGGTCATAGTGTAGTTGTTCTGTCATGTGCTGGGCCTGTAACAACTGTCTTTTCTGTAGGACGTATACTTTGGCCCAGCGGGAAGCCGAGGTGCCTCAAAGAAAGGTTCTCAGGGATTTTCCTGAAGTGATGGTCTTTAGAGTCTTTAATGATATAACAAAGTCTTTATTATGGAACAAATAACAAATCTTCAAACAACACTTCAATGCTTTCTTATTCTAGTCTTTAAGAGACTGGCAACTGACTTGGATTAACTGTACTTTCTCTGCATGAGGAAAACCCTTTATAACCTCTCCCAAGC